GCACTCTATGATCCCGATGGAAGTGTCGCCGGCCGATCATACTTACTTCTGGTCCCGTAATCCAGAGAATAAGGGCTCGGAACCGCATGGGCTTCATAACGGGCATTTCAAGGCTGGGATTTATTCCTCCATGGTGGCCCAATGCGACGCTCTCTTCCGCCACATACCCTTGACAACTGGGTTTGTCCCTGACAACTGGCGGCATCTGATGAATTTTGCTATTGAAAAGAAGCCAGGCGACTTTCGGCTGACAAAAATGCGTACAATTCAGCTCATGAATTCTGAATCCCAAGCAAACTACAAGAAAATGGGCCGCCTGGCCATGGCCTACGGCGAAGAACATCACCTCTTGGCCGATGGACAGTGCGGGTCTAGAAAGCACCATCAAGCGATCGATCTTGCCCTGTCTAAACGTCTTGTGTGGGATCTTCTGATTCTCCAGCGCCGCTCGGCGGGGTGGATTTCAAATGACGCAAAGTCATGTTTTGATCGGGTCGTCCATTGGGTTGCGGTGTTAGCTATGATGCGCCTGGCGATTACTTGGAATGCGTTGCGCATGATGTTTGACACTCTCGCAGCGTCCACGCACCGAGTGCGTACAGGCTTTGGTGACTCCGAAGAGAGCTTTCACCCCCCTTCCATGGTACCATTTCAGGGTTGCGGCCAGGGCAACGGAGCGGGCCCGCCCATTTGGGTCTCCGTTAGCTCCGTTATCATCCAGATGATGACCGCGATGGGCTTCGGCTTCGAATGTCTCACTGCGATTGATTCTCAACTGATCACCTCTCAGTGCTTCTGCTTCGTCGACGACACGGATGTGATCGAAGCGGGCAAGTCCGTGGAACAATCTGGCGAGGATATATGCCACTCCGTCCAACAAGCGGCTTCCACGTGGGCTGGAGGCATTAGTGCTACTGGAGGGGCAATTAATCCAGAAAAGTCCTTTTGGTGGTTGATTGACTTTGTGTGGGACTCCAGAGAGGGCAAATGGAGGTTCCGCCGGACACACCAACTCCTACCGGATCATCCATTACAAATACCGGGACTGACTGGCGAATTGGAAGCCTTACGCCGTCTGGAGCCGGATGAGGCAGAGAAAACCTTGGGGGTCATGTTGGCCCCATTGGAAGATCAACATGCTCACGTCGTCCATCTCAAGAGTATCGCCAAAAAGTGGGCTGAGCAAGTGCGCTCGGGGCATCTACACAAATACGATGTCATTCCCCTGATCAAGACAACAGTGATGAAATCCCTGGAATATCCTATGGTGTTAACTACACTGGATGCTGCGACATGGGTGTCAATTATGAGTCCTGTTCTCCAAGTCTGCCTGCCGAAGGCCGGCATATGTAGGA